GGCTGGGCGTGGTGGCTCATGCCTGTCATCTCAGCACTTTAGGCAGATTCCCCTGAGGTCAGTAGAGACCAGCCTGACCAACAAGGAGAAACCCTGTCTCTACTAAAAATACAAAAATTAGCTGGGCATGGTGGCGCACTCCTGTGATCCCAGCTACTCGGAAGGCTGAGGCAGGAGAATTGCTTGAACCTGGGGGATGGAGGTTGCGGTGAGTTGAGATTGTGCCACTGTACTCCAACCTGGGCAACAGGACAGAAAATCAAACCCTCATTTGCCACCTAGTGGGAAAAATCCTATGTTCTCCTTAAGATTTCTGCCCCATTTCCAGGTGGAGGCTCACTTTCCCACATTCACCCCAGGCTCAGGCTCCTCGGGACATTCTTCAACCACTTTCTTTCACCTCAACCCCGCTGGCTACTTCCTCTGATTTGCCTGTGGGGATAAAACACCCACCCGGCCATCCAAGGCATTTGAGTGTGATTGCACAGAAACGGCAGAGGGTAGATTAACCACCTGACAGACAACTGAAAACGCAAACCTGGACATCCCACTTCTTCAGTGTTCTGCCTCCAGCCCCATCGAAAGCTATAGAATGATGTTTAGGGCCTCGGTCAGTTTTCAGAAGGGCTCTTTCTTCTTCCATCCTCCCCAGCACCCCCAGCCTCCTCGGCCTGGGGAAAGGGTCATTTTGTTCTTCCAGTAACATTCTTTCACTTACTTCTTGCCAATCCTATGATGTAGGTGCTTTTATTCAGCCCATATTCAAGATGAGGAGGCTCTGCCTGGAAGGTTCAATCGCTTGCCCAAGGCCACAAAACCAGTGAGCAGAGGGGGTGATGGCAGAGCGTGCTCTCAGCCCCACCGCAGCAATGCCTGTACCCACCACATGCCCCCCTGCCTTCTGCCCCCACAGCACCATTTTGGGGCCCAGTTTACAGAGCCGATTCCAGGGCTGGTCTCACGAGGCTTTGGGTCCAGTACTGCTTTCTGCCGATGGAGAATATGGAAGCATGTGTTTTGTTGTTGAAAGAGTCTTAGGGGTTTCCATGTGACCAACTCCAGAAAGTGCCAGGAGCTGTCTCTGAGGAGGGCCATGTGCTGGTGTCTTTCAGTTGCGGGTGTCACCGCCCACTGAGTTACAGCCACCCCGGCGTAAGCTGGCACCTACCAGGACTCACAGCCACTTTTTTATGTATTCATAGAAAAGTATAACGGATTCAGAAAGAAAAGTTTCCCAATTCCAGGGTTTAGTATTTTTGAGAGATGTCAAAAGCATGGGTCAATTAGAAGGATCCATGGTGTCCCTTGCGATGGGCATGGTCATCTGAAAGGGGTTCATTGTGGGATCTTTGCCCTGGGCCTGCTGGTTGCACCTCTGGAGGCCCCAACAAAAGACAGAAGCAGCAGCTTTCATTTCCTTCCCCAAGAATGCCCTTCCTGCCCATGAGGAACATCATTTCGTGCCTGAGGATGCCACTGCTATGTCATCTTCCAGGTCTTGTCCCTCTTGCTTAGACTATGGCTGCAGCCACCTAAAGGGGCCCCTGACTGCAGGCTGTCCTCCTCCAGCCTGTCCAGATTCTGGCAGGCTCCAGTCTGAAGCCTTGGCTGATCCCAGCCCTAATGGGGGAAAAATATTACACTCCTGCCCCACGCCTGCTCTGCCCTGAAGCGATCTCTGCTGGGGCCTCATGGAAGACCTGACCATTCAGGGGCCACGTTCTGCTCAACCCCACTGCCAGATGTTTGCTTATGCCTGGAATGTCTGCCTCTCTCTGCCATCAAAGTCCTACCCACCCTTTAAGGCCTGATTCATGTGGTCCTTTCTACTCCCAGAAAGTGTTCCCAGTGTGTCCCCAGGCCTTCTCTGGACTGGTGACTGAGGACCTGGCTTCTCCATATCTCATGGGATGAGGGCTCTCTACACTCAGGCAGCTTCCTGTGTGGAACCTCAGATAATCAGACACCATCAGGGTCCCCAGCAGGTGGGTAAACCAGCCTCTAGGTCAGCCTCATGACCTCTAGCCTCATGACCTGTACATGGTCAAATGCCCCACCAGAGTGTATTGGTCTCACGGGGCAAGGGCCCCATGTTGGGCCCTGCCCACCACACTACCATTCTTAGCATGCCAGGCAAGCTGGTCCCTGCTGGGCTCATTTCTCCCACCAAGGGGTAGAATGGCATGGTGGGCAATGGAATAGGAGAAATTGGTTTGGATCCTGGCAAATAGCAGGTGTCCAACACAGCCCTGGCTATGGGTACTAATAACTGAAGCAGCGAGAGCTGCTGCCTGAGTAAGAGAGTCTGCTCCGGAAGTGTGTGTCTGGTTGACCTAGAAGTCTCATTTGTTCGTTTGTTCGTTCGTTCATTCAACAAATAATTATCCCTGCCTACTAGATGCCAGGCCCTGTGCTAGAGGCTGGATCAAGACATGAATAGACAAAACTGCCCCCAGGGAGCTTACGTCCTAGTGGAAGAGGCAGATTATAATAATATGAGCAGGATAAACAAGACAGGTTGGATTGTGATCAACTCTATGGAGAAAAAAAAAGCAGGAAAGAGAGATGGGTGGAAGGAGCTTCCCTTGTAAATGCAGTGATCAGGGAAGACTTCCTGTGCTACAGAGAGCTAGCGAGCAACCGGGGATTATTCAGATACCCATCGTCTGCTGTGGACCAGGCATCAAGCTGGGGTGAGGGTGGCACACAGGTGTAGAGAGGAATCCAATGGACCTGTAGGGCCAGGCACACCCACGCACTGCGGCCTCCCATGCAGGTCAGGGCAAAGCCAGTGCCGTGGAACCTCACGGGAGACTGGAGCTGGCTGAGGAGGTGTGGGAGAGGGGCTTCCCAGAAGAAGAGGTATCCAAGGACCTCTACACTCACCACTGTAAGGCTAGGAAGGTGGGGATAGGGTCGAGGATGTTGAGTGACACTGACTTAGGTGCTTCCTCTAAAGGAGTTGGAAGCTGTTTATGGCCCTTTGCGGGAGCCAGTGCCAGTTTGGGGATGGATAACATGTCCACATGAACCAACTCCAGCCAGATGGACCTAAGACTTGCACTTTGTGGGGGCTGGATATCTGGGAGGCTTCCTGGAAGAAGTGGCCTTAGAGCTGGGCCAGGCAGCAGAGATGATGTTGCTAAACAGAAATGCAGAGGTGGCCTTTGCCAAGTAGCTCAATGCCCTGAGCTCAGCACTGTCAAGAAGTGCCTCTGATAGGGCAGCTCCACAGGTGCCCGGAGCCCTGCGGGGAGGGTGCTGGCCCTGTCCTCCGGGCTGCACTGTCTCCCTGCTCCCCCACCAGCCCCAGAGGAGGAGAAGGCTCCATGGCGCTGATGGATATGCCGGGCCGGGCGGCTGCGGCCCACTGTCACCAGGCTCTCCTTCTGCATGCCGGAACCTGACACCCTGACCACTGAGGCATAAAAAACAGAGAATTGGAAGGCTCAGCCTGTCAGGCTGGGAGTGGCCCCCAGAGAGACCCAAGGAGGAGAGAGAGAGAGAGAGAGAGAGAGAGAGAGTGTGTGTGTGTGTGTGTGTGTGTGTGTGCTCGTTGTGTGTGTACACGCTTTGCCTGTGGTTGTGAGGTGCAGGGGAGGCCAGCTAGACCTGGGGGTGGGAGCCGCTGGTCCCTCAGTCCTGCCTCATTATTCCTGCCCTACCTGGCAGAGCCCCAGGGGCCCACCCCTGAGCTTGGGTTGCAGGGGAGAGGGCAGGCTCTTGGTCTCAGATTCTGGCTGGCCCCTTCCAGAGTCTCTCACCCTTCAGTCCTTTGTAGATATCCTTGTGGGGAATTGTGGAGGTGGGCTTGGGCTGCAGGTAGGCTCATGGGGCTGTGTAACTCCTATCACCTCCAGCAGAGAAAGGCCCCCCTGCTCTGTACCCAGCAGCAGCCAGCTTTCCATGCCCCATTCCAGGACCTCTACTGAACACACTCTGCTGGGCACTGGGCACCCGGCAATTAAGTCCAGGCTGAAGCCTCCTCTCTGGGAGCCACTAGCCATGGGGGAAGTCAGGCCGGCCCTGCTGGCTACAAGCCTACAGAATTGTGAACCCTCCTCCTGGTGACCTAGTCAGTGGTAAAGAGGCTCTCCTGGGACTGGCAGCCAGAGCCCAGGGAAGTGCCAAAGGTGGGCATCACTTCCCCATGATCACCAGGGAAGGGCCAGAGGCAGGCATCACTGCTCCATGAGCGCCTGAGCCAGGGTGAACCATGCTCAGATCCCACCATGCCACACACAGTGCTCTTCCCACCCTGGCACACCTCACAGCTCCTGCCCAAGCACACCCACAGCTGCCAACAGCTGCCCCCTCCCCAGTACCCAGAAGGCTCCAACCACTCCCTCTTCTGTGCTCCCCTAGCCCTTTGGCTTGTCCTTTCATTTCAGCATAGTTCTGTGGGCCTCCTCCAGGCAGAGGGCCTGGGTTGATTTCTCATCTCCCTGATGAGACTGAGGCCCCGGGGACAGCCACCTCTGCCTTCACAGCACAGAGGGCCAGGCTAGGATTGACATTACCTTTGGCTTCTCTGCCCAGAGCCACTCAGGGAGCAGGTGGGGAGTAGAACTGAGTCCATCCTGGGATCCTGGAGTGGCTTCAGTCAGGGATGAGAACCAAGCAGTCTGCAGCCTTGAACTTAGCAAGGTATATCAAGACCACTTTGTCAGACACCCTGGGCATCGGCCTTCTCATGTGTAAAATGGGCCCAAGGAACACCTAGCACCTGGGGCCATGAAGCAACATGGGAGTTCTGCGGTACACATGTGAGAGTTTGCTGTCCACTCCCACTGATAAGGAGGGGAAAGACAGACAACGCCAGTGACGGCTGCCCACTCAGTAAGGATGTGGACTTGACCTGCTTTTGTTGTTTACAAAAGCGCCTGTAGCTCACAGAAGAGACAAATGCCATTGGCAACCAGGCTGGCTGGGACCCAGGGCCTTTTCTGAACTGGATTTGACATTTGGTTCCTGTTTCTCTCTCCACCCACCAAACGCAGGGAGTGAGTTTTCCGGGAGTCCCTACAGCCACCCTCAGTATTCCTCGTACAACGACTCCTGGAGGTTCCCCAACCCGGGGCTGCTTGGTGAGTACTGTTGGAGGCCCTGTGGGGCCCCTGGGCCATCGGCTACCCCATCCAGGCCTTCTCATTGTGCCTGGGTCCCTCGACATCCTGAGGTCTGGTCAGTGAGGTGGAGTGGGGAGCTTGAAGTATAGGTGTTTCGACGGGGGCCTTAGGGCAGTTAACACTGCTCCAGCCCTGCCCATGCCCTCCTCCCTCCCCAAGATGTTTTGGTGGGTCAGGAAAAATGGTGCAGAAGGAAACAGAGGGGAAAAAGGGCATTGGAGGAGAAAGACGAAGGTAGGAAAAGTGCCTACCTGTGAGTAACGTGTATTTCTTAAGAATCATGAGATATTCAGGTGGGGACTCTAAGTAAGTGTCAGTAAAGATACCAACTTGAATTGATTGGTAGTGGCTGCCTGGAGACCATCTTGATAAAGACCCTGATTCCCAGTGATTGATTAGTGATGTCTGCATGGACATCACCAGAGCCAGCTCCATTGGAACCTGGTTGCCTGTGGCTAGAGGTCTGACAAGGCATGCCATCTAGGGCTCAGGAGGTGCCCACCCTCTGCCCATGCCTCAGATTGGCAGATTGTACATGACTGGTGCCAGCCTGATCTGTGAACATTGTAAAGATATTTGGGCCACTGCAAAGACCATGCAGCGCTAACTCAGCCCTCAAAAAGCCAAGAGGAGCCTTCTGCTTTGTTGGCATGACCTTACGTGAAACCAGCTAGTAAGTGCCATTTGGAGCTAAAGGTTCTGGGACATGAAGCCGAGGTGTGGGCCCAAAGATTGTCACTCACCATCTGGGAGGTGGAGCGAGCCAATCAGCCTTCAGGCAGCAACATGGAGCCCTCCCTCAGCAGTCAGCTAAGAATTTTCCACTTAGAGCAGTAAAAGGTCAGACATGGAAGGGCCCTCTGAGACCACCCAGGTTTATCTGTCCGGCTTAACAAGGCCTCCTTAAGGAAGAACCTTTTAATTCCCTGGATCCTTAATTATTTAGGACTGAGAAACATAGGCTTCATCAGAAAAGCCATAACCTGGTATCTTCAAACTCAAGTTGCCAAGCCATAGGTCTGTGAAAGAGACCATGTAATCTCAGCCTTGACCTCTTCCTAAACCTGATTTGGTGGTTAGGACAGACACATAGTATAGAAACCACTTCTCTCTTGCTACTACCATTCTTTGCATTTGGGGCCTTGGGCTGTCCAAAGCATCTTGGTGTGTCACGTGTAACTTGGAGATTAAACAAGAAACAATGCCCATTAGTGCCCGCGTCCCTGTTCGGGAGATTTCAAGCCTTGTGGAAGACTCCTAGGTTCTTATTATCTGTCGTCTCCCAGAGGTGCAGAATCTGCAGATTGATCTCTTCTCCGACTCCTTTTTTGGTTTTGGTCAAAATCATTTCTAAGTATCGAACCAGGATATCCACTTACCTAATGTTTTTTCTTAAGTGGACTCTTCGAGTTGACCCAGATGTCCATCTCAGGAAACAGGAGACATGGGCTGGCTGTGGGCTCCCTGAACCAGTGTCTTCTAGCAGGGGTGGGGGAAGGGAGATGGGTCTTGAGGCCCAAACCTGGGAGTCCTTCCCAGGAAATCTGCCTCAGGCAGAGCCCTGATCCCAGTCCTGCTGGGAGACCCCAGGGGATATGGCACAAAGGAGACCTGGACATTGGCCTGTGGGAAAGGTTCCTTCTGATGGAGAGGTGACCCCAAGGAGGCCATGCTGGCCCAGGGCTGCCACACATGACTGTGCACTGCCCAAGGGGACAAGTGGAAACTGAACCCCAGGCCATGCAGGGCACGAAGCCCTGAACCCTGGCACAGGGCTGCACCTGCTCCAAAGGACACTTTTTCTCATTTTACAAGTGGTCTCATTTATTTGCCTGGGTTTTTAAGAAGCAGAGAAACTGGAAGAAATGGTGCAGGCATTTGTGGCAAAGGCTTGGTTTAGGAGGTGGGGCAATCTGTGCAGTGTGCATAGAGAGGGGCCCTTGAAGGCCAGGCTGGGGAGTCCAGACCTGACTGTGTAGGCAGCAAGGTGTCTCAGAGGATGAGGCAGGGAGGGAGGGAGTGGGACCAGACTGCATCGAGGCTTTTGCTGCTCAAGCTGGAATGAATCCAGTTCACACCTCTGATTGTTAGGCCTGGGCTGTGTGGAAAAGATGCATGCTCTGTCCCAGGGAGCTCACAGGCTGTGGGTGGGAGCCTCTGGCAGGGGTGTCTGTGCTGGGAGGTGCTCAGTACCTTTAGGTGGCCAGAGACAGTGTGGAGAGGAGGAAGAGGAAGCAAAACTCCATGCATCTACATAAGCACTTGCTAATTGTACCAGGCACCCAAAACTCTCTTCACATGGGTTATCTGGTTTTGTTCTCTCAGCAACCCAACAGAGCACATATTATTATCTCTATTATACGGAAGAGGACAGTGAGGCTCAGAAAGGTGAACTAATTCACCTGATATCACACAGCATTCAGGTGGCAGAAGGAGGACTTAAATTCAGGTCACCTTGATGCCAGATCCCATTTTTAGAACCGGTATGTGATGTGGTACTTTACTCTCTCTGACTGATGCATACTTTGAACACTGAAGCCAGGAAAAGAGGCCTCACCCCTCTGTGGAAACAGGCCTTGGGGGTCCTGAATACTCAGACCTATGTGTGAGTGATAAGAATGGCTCTGGTCTGGTTTTGAAAGCAGGTTACTGTCTGTATCTGTCAGACATTCAGTTGCAAACAACAGAATCCACTCTGACCGGCTTAAGCAGAAAACAAATTTATTAAGGGATATTTGGGACTCCTACAATCTTCAGGAGGACCAAAAAGAGGTAGGCATGGGACACAGCCAGGACAACACCCACCACACAGCCAGAGTTGCAGTAGCGTCAGCAGCCCTGCTGCCAGCCGGCACCCAGCCTGCAGCTCTCCTCCACTGAAACCTTACCCAGGGTGCTCGGGACCAGGCCCCAGAAGCTCTGCCCTGCACCCAGCCAAAGCTGAATGCCTTTGCCACCCATTTCCAACAGATGGAGTCCCCCAGGCCGCTGCTTCAAGTGACTCCCTTCTCAATCAAGGTCATATACGAGAAAGTCTAATTAGCAGAGCCCACGTAGCACACCTGTGCCCTAGCAGCAAGGGAAGCTGGGAAGATGAGTTCTGACTTCTGGCTCAAAGAGGCAGGCCTCCTACTGCAGTATCTGTACAAACACAGAAGTGCAAATGATATTGGGCTGCAACAGGCATGAGAAATGGTCCCTGCACTGCCCAAGTCTATAACCTGGAGGAGCCTAGTCAGGGCTGGGCCTCAGTTGCCTCGGGTGTAAACTGAGGATAGTGGTCCCTGCCGCCTCATTCCAACAGGAGCTGCATGCGTGATCTCTTGAGATGTGCAGGGCTGAGGAAACGTGATCCCACTTTCCTAAAGATGGATGAGATTGCTGGCTCCCCACCCCACAGCCTTGCAAATAGCTCCAGGACGGTTCACCTCTCCCTGTCCGCCCTATCCCACAGTGTCTTCGGCATGGCCTGAGGGAATGACCCAGGGCAGAGAGACCTAGAAGGGTTATTTGTGCCATCTAGGGAGGGCACCAGGGTATGGAAACCTGTCCTGAGACCCCTTCGTGCTCCTGCTAGACTGGTGTGCTTTGTGGAACAGGCGAGACCCTATATACACACACACACATGCTCACACAGATGCACACCGACGCTCACACACCTGCACACACAGACACATATGCACGCACACACAGACACACGCTCACATCCCTACTCCCACTCGCACACACCCTCGCACGTGATGCCAACACCTCGGCCAGCCTGGCTGAAGCCTCCTTCACAGGAATGGCTGGCCAAGGCGAGGACCAACGACACCATGGGATGCAGCAGAAGGACTGGGGCACTTTGACTTGGGGGAATGTCCCTTGGCCAGGGCAGCTGTGACTCAGCATAGAAAGGGGCCCCAGGCTGGCAAGGTGGCTGCGGTCCCAGCAGGAAGAAAGGCCAGCGGCGGTCAATTAGGATTAGAATGGGAGCGCCTGTGGCCGCTGTAAAGGGATTAGAGAGAAAGCGGAGCCGGCAATGACTGTGTCAAGCAGTAAATTGATGATAATGTGAATTAGAGAGGAAAAATGACAGAAGAAAGGACAAGTTTATTCTAGATGGAGGTCTAATGGGCGCCAGGAAGACAGAGTGCTTTGTGAGGTGATGTTTTCATTTTTCACGGTAAATGCAAGCTCTCACACCGAGGCCCGCTGGAGGATCTGGCCTGGCTTTAGGAGGGAGTGGATCAGAGCCCAGGGTGAGAGGTGGCCGGGGTGGGGGATTGGAGGGTGGAGCCAGGGATCCTCCAAGGAGAAGCCTCTACTTCCCGTTTCCTGTCCCTGTGGGGTGTGTATAGGCAGCCCCTGGGATTGCCCTGCCTTCCTGGCATCCCCCTCTGCCTTCCCTGGGCTTACTTGCAGGCAGGATGAAGGCAGGCTCTACAGACACTCCACGGGTGTCTGTCCCCATCCCACAGAAGAGAGAACAGAGGAAGGCTGGCAGGGTTTCTGAGTTGGGACTGCAGCCAGCGAGGTGACAGAAGAGGTGACAGAAAAAACCCATCTCAGGAATATTTAGCCATGGGGCTGGTGTCCTTGCCATCTTGAAGTGTACAGCGAGGCACTGGCTCCTCCACTGACATCTTGCCTCCCTGGGGGTATTGGGGGCTGCTGGGAGAGGGAGCAGTACATCGATCATCAGGGTTGAATGGGGAGGGGAGGCAGTGCATGTCAAAGTGTCACCTGAATCCCACCCTCTTGATTACATATTAGCTGTGTGACCTTGGGCAAGTTAATTCACCTCTCTGTGTCTCAATCCCCTCATTTGTAAAATGGGAACAATATCATTCCTACCTGATTGGAAACTAAAAGGGTTAGGGGATATAAACTTCATGGCTCCTTCATGACCTTATCTCATGGTGTACATGCAGCCACACCCTTGCCACCCCCTCTTACAGATGAAAACACTGAGGCCCGGGGTGTGAAGTCACTTGTTCAAGGTCTGCTAGCCAAGAAGCTGTAGAGTGTGACTGACAGACTCCAGGACTCAGTTACAGCACAGGTTGACTGCCCCTAATCCAAAATGCTTGGGAACAGAAGCGTGTCGGATTTTTCCAGATTTTGAAACATTTGTATTATACCAGCTCAGATCCCAAATCAGAAAATCTGAAATTCAAATGCTCCAATGAGCATTTCCCTTGAGTGTCCTATCAGTGCTCAGAAAGTTTTCGATTTTGGAGCATTTCAGATTTCGGATGTTTGGATGTGGGATGCACAGCCTGTGTCTGGGAGAAGTGCCAGGATTTGGCTTGGAATTGGGTGAGAGTGCAGAATAAATATGAGTCACCTCACGTGGGGAGCGAAGAAGCTTTCGAGTCATGTCCCAGCAGGCGTGTAGTCAGTGACAGGCTAGGGGAGCCCCAGCTGCTCATTTGCATAGGCCTGTTTCTGTATAGATGTGTGGGCCTCCATCTGTACTATAGTAGGAAGAGTCCTGAGCTGGGGCAGACAACCTAGATCCTGGCCGGGCCCCGTGCTGAGAGGCTCCGAGACTTTGGGCTTGGGTTTGCTAAACCTTAGTTCTCCCACCTGTAAAAGGAGGAGATTGGCCGAGAGCCTCAGCTTCTGTGGTTCTGTAGAAAAGGAATCTGCTAGTGGCCCTGGGCCTTCCCAGGCCCCCTCATCCCTGAGAGGGAGGCCTCAGCCAAAAGGTGCAGTCAAAAAAAGCAGCCAGAGGCAATGTAAGGAGCCCAGTGTCTGCCAGAGGGCCATCACTCTGCTTTCCTGAGGCCACAAAAGGGGCCTGTACTCCACCCTCTCTCACACACATTCCCCAGAGTCCCCCTGTCCTCCAAGCCCCACTCCCTCCAGAAAGCCAACTTGCTAGAACCATCTTGCACTCTCCAGAGCTTCTTCCTGAGCCTGGATCCCCCTCTTGCTCTGAATATTGACCTGTGTCTTGCTGGCGTTTGCCTTATTATTGCCCAGACCTGCCCCCAGCAGGGTCAGGAAATGAGTGGTGAATGAATGAGTGAATGAATGAATGGGCAGGCGGTTGTCTTCACTATTGTTTTCTCACTCAGCAAAGTTGATTCATTACACCTTCAATCTAGCTGAGCATGTGCCACATACAGCTCCAGGCTGGAACAGGGGACAGACTCCCAAGAAGAGCAGAACCCAGTTCCTGCCTTTTGGGACCTCTCCATACAGGGATGGGGGAAGTGCAGAAATAAATAACCATAGCAAAGGGACAGCCTACAGGGGAGTGTGAGCTCAGGGCAGGGGGCTGCCTGGAGGAGGAGACAGGGCTCTGAGATTTGAAAGAGGCATAGAAGTTTAACAGATGGGAAAAGGGGTGAGGGCACAGGCCAAGAGTTCCAGGCAGGAAGCAAATTGTGGGGAAAGGCACCAAGGCAGGAGAGTATGCTAGCATGAGCTAACTATGCCTACCCTGTAGGATTAAATGAGATAATACATGCACAGGCCCTAGCAGGGCCAGGCCCAGAGGATGTGCTCATCTGTCAGCATTATGTATATCTGAGACAGCTGCAAAGAGTCTTGCTCAGCTTAAGCGTGATATATGAGTATGAGCAGGAGGGGCCTTCCCTGAGGGAAATGAATCTAAAGAGGTTGGCTGGGGCTAGATCACAGAGCACCTGCAGGCCAAACAAAGGGAATGCTTTTCATGGGTTTATCTTCTAGGTCAGGGGTTGGCAAATGATTTCTGTAAAGAGCCAGAGAGTAAATATTTTAGGGTTTGCAGGCCATAGTGTCTCTGTTGCAACTACCCAACTCTGCTGTAATAGCAGGAAAGCAGTGATGGGCAGTGCCCAAATGCATAGGCAAGACTGTGTTCCAGTATCATGTTATGCGGAGCTGGGAGGGTTGGACCCAAGGGCCCAGGCTCCGGACCCCAGCTCTAGATGGGGAGGAGCCTCAAAGAGCAGGCTGTGGCCCTGATGGGACTTGTCATTTGGGGAACAGACTGGGACAGAGATCTTGGTGAGAGGGAATGGTGGCCTGGACTGGGTTAGGGGAAGAAAGGACAGCAGTGGAGGAGACTGGTGGAAAGGGGACCCCAGATCTGACCTCAGTGCTCTCTCCCGTCTCTTCCAGGCTCCCCCTACTATTACAGTGCTGCCGCCCGAGGAGCTGCCCCACCTGCAGCTGCCACTGCCTATGACCGTCACTGACCCTTGGAGCCAGGCGGGCACCAAACACTGATGGCACATATCATTGAGGGTGACAGCTGCCCAGCCCTCCTGACGATAGCCAGAGGAACCCATGAGACTGTCCCTCAGCACCCCCACTTGCCTGAAGCACCCCTCTTCCCCTCTTCCTCCAGGGACTCTGGGGCCCTAAGGTGGGACCGTTGGAATCTGGATGCTTGTCCATTTCTAAAAGCCAGTCTATGAGATTCTCCCTGTGGCCATTGGGTCTCTGCAAACCAACAGACTGTTGTGCAAATGACCGCAGCCCCAGCCCAGCCTGCCAGTCCCCCGGCTGTCTGACTATCCATCCATCATAACCACCCCAGGCCTGGGAAGGAGAGCTTGCTTTTGTTGCTTCAGCAGCACCCATGTAAATACCTTCTTGCTTTTCTGTGGGCCTGAAGGTCCGACTGAGAAGACTGCTCCACCCATGATGCTTTCTGCACTCTTGGTGTGTCACCGGACAGCTTAGACCTGTGGCAGAGCATCCTCTCTGCCTTGGGCGACCCTGGCAGGTGAGCTCGGAGCTGTCCTTGAGAAGGAGGATGCCCCCCTTGGGCCCCAGCCTCCTGCTCATCCCTCCTTCTTTAATATTGTCATGAGGAGTCTCACTGGCTGGTTGTGCTGCAGGCTCCCCCGGAGGCCCCTCTCCAAGAGGAGCACACTTTGGGGAGATGTCCTGGCTTCCTGCCTCCATTTCTCTGGGCCAATGCAGTACAAGCAGCTCTTTTCTAGATCAAAGAACTCAAAGAAAACTGTCTGGGAGATTCCTCAGCTACTGTTCTGAAGCAGAATGTCATCTGAGGTGTTGCTTGCATTGTGGACTTTGAATGTGAGAGCTGGATGGGATTTGGGAGATCATCTGATCCCAGCCAAGGAGGGGCCTGAGGATCTCCCCATTCCCTCAGCCCTGGAACTGTGCTTTCTGAGGCATGCCCAGGTTCAGGTCACTTTGGACACCTGCCATGGACACTTCACCCACCCTCCAGGACCCCAGCAAGTGGATTCTGGGCAAGCCTGTTCCGGTGATACAGACAACGATTAACACAGAGGACTTTCCCCTGCACCCAGATTACAAACAGCCTACACCCAGGACTTGTGAATGTCCTTTCAGAGCAGACCCTCCCGTCTTCGCAGAGCTTAGCGGGCAGCTGAGCATGGAGGCTGAGGCAGCTGCCTAATTTCGCACAATGCATGCCCACCTGTTGATCTAAGGGGCTGCAAGGGTCAGAGCCATGGCCAAGAGCCATGGGAACTCAGAGAGGGGGCTTGGAGAACTCACGGTGGGCTAGGGTGGTCAGAGGAAGCCAGCTGGGAAGATGCGGGGGACAGAGGAAGGCCTCCTGGAGGAGGGGCAGGAGAGCATGAGGACTTGCTGTGTGACCTGGGAGTGATTTTGAAATGGAGGTGCCAGGTGCCACCATCTCTTTACCTAGGGCCTCAGTTCCTTGCATAGTCTCTCTTGTCAACTCAGAACAGCCAGGTAGAGCCCTTGTCCAAACCTGGGCTGAATTACAGTGATGAGACAGGGCTTAATCTTCTTATGCAGCAGTGTCCCCCATGTCTGCATGTCACCAAGATGGCAGAGAGCCAGGACAGAGAGAGGCTGGACTTGGGATCAGCAGCCCAGGCAGGTCTTGTCATGGCCACAGGTCTTTGCTGTGGGACCTCAGACAAAATCCTGCACCTCTCTGAGCCTTGGCTGCCTTGGTGCAGCAGGGTCACCTGTAGGGTCACCCCACAGCTCTCTCCTTCCCCTCCTCTCTCCAGGGAGCTGGGGCTGTGACAGGATTATCTGGGCCAAGCTCTCCACTTTTAAGCAAGCAAGCAAAGGGAGGTAGGAACCTGAGTCCCGCTAATATTTGGACCAAGTGGGAAACAAGAACACCTGGAGGGGCGGGAATCAGAAGATCCTGGAAAAAGACCTTCCCTTGTGGGAAACTGAGGCCCAGCTTGGGGAAGGCCAGGACCATGCAGGGAGGCAGAGCAGACTTTCTCTGGCCACCGCTAAGTAGTTTGTTCCCCAAACCCCTCCGCAGGGTGGTGGAACAGAAGAGAAAACTAAGGCTCAGCAGGTGGAGTCCCCAAGCAGTGACTGGTGGGGGCGGGGCTGGGGCTCAGGCTCCTGACTCCCAATCCATGGTGTTCTCAGTCACCCTGGTCTATCTACACCTCCTATTCCAGGGGAGAGTTGACAGTAAGAGCAGTGAGAGAGGGTTCTGGGCCCCATGCCCTAGACAGTCTGTAAGAACTGCCAAGGAAGCCCAATCTCCCAGCCCAGAGATGGAGCCCAGCGGGCTCACAGCAGGCACAGCCACCACTACCACCCCCAGAAGGGCAAAGAAGGGAGTTAGCTGGGGCCAGAGCTCACCTCCAGGAGCCAGGGTGAGCTGGCTGCAGCCTCCACCTGTCAGGTAAGGTAGGAGAAGGTATGTTACTTGGCACCTCCCTCCCTGTCTCCCTCCATTTAGCAGGAGGTGGTGGAGTCAGAGGTCTTCAGCACAGGGATCTTGGGCCTCTGCCCCCTGCCACCCCTCTCTTGGAATGATGTGCACCCACATCTTCAGATCCTCCCCTCCTTATGGTTCCAGGCTGTTGGGAGGAGGTCAGCCTCCCCTGAACCAGCTGCCCAAGGCACACAGCATCCTTCTTCGGCAAAGCCCACCTAGCCTACGGTGGTCCCCTCTCCCCATCCTGTTCCTCTTGTTGCCCTGTAATGAGCTCCCCCATACCTTTCCTCTCTCACCTGAGGCTTTGCTGGTCCTCAGATTGGTTTTGTATTTGTGAGACAACCACTTGATTCCTGGGCTGCCAGGCAGAAGCACAAGCGCACACGGATGCACATGGATGTTCTCACACACGCACGCCTGCTCTCACCAGTTCACAGCTCCCTCGAGGTCCGGCAAGCTGCCCAGGAGCTTGGTGAAGACAGTTCCAAAGGACATAAGCCGTTGAGTAGATGCCAGAGAATTCTGAATGGAAAACACAAGTTCAGGGCCTCACCAGCAGCATGGCAGAAGGCCTGGGGCATTTCTCCATGGGCCTTCTGCTCTGTGTTCTAGCTCTGACTTTTGGAAAATGACATCATGGATTTTATGAAAATTTTTCATACCATTATACTAGCTTCAACCTAGAACAGTTTGATGATATATCAAACCCAACATTCCTTTCCCAAGGCACCTTAGTTAGGGCTAGCCCTTACGTAACTAACATTGTACGGTACTTTGCAATCCTCAACCACCCTGTGGGGCAGAGAGCGTGATGCCTACTTTATAGACAGGGAAACTGACATTTGGGGCTCACATGGCAAGATGGAGGTGAAGTGATTTCTCAGATCTCCAGGCCCCATTCTTTCTCCATGGAGTTGTGCTCCTGTCATGGGAGTGTATGGTTTAAAGACACACCCCCATTCCCTAGAAACACCCCTGACCCATAATAAGGCCAGAAAGAACAGGGACCCAGAGGCTGGCCTGATCTAGGGGCCTGGAGGTTGGTGGCTTTGTTTCCTATGAACATTGAAACCTGCAGAGTCTTTGACCAAATCTACACCAGCGCTTCTGAGGTTTCATCCAGACTCTTTCCCAGCTGTCCCTGAGGCTTGGTGGAGATCAGAGCCAGTTCAAGGCCACACTATAATTTCTGGACATGGGTCCAGCTTAGACATGGGTCCAGCCCTGAATCCAGGCATCCAGGTGCGAGGGTCATGTTCTGTCTCCTCACTTCCCTTTCTTTGCCTTCCCATTTTGGAACAGGCTACAGGCCTGGCTGTGATAGTATGCAGGAGTGCCCAAGCCAGGGCCATTGGGTGTCCACAGCCCCTGGAAACACAGATCACAATCCCAAGTCCCCTTAATGAACTGCTTCCTGGGTGAATGTGGTGGGGTAACCTTGCCACTCAGGCAGGGTACCCAGCAGTATGGTGCAACAGTGCCCGAGATGCCCAGAAGTGTGCCTGCTTCCCTGAGTGGCATTCAAATTGGAAAACTTGTAAAATGTTCTCAAGGCCTAAAGAAAAATGTCCATGGGTCAAATTTGACCCACTGGCCACCAGCCTGTGAGCTCCAGTGCCTATCAGTTCCCCTTTCTTATTCACCTCCTGTCCTATGTTGCAGATCTGGAGGACATGGGAGCCCACAGAGGTGAGAGATGTGCTTCAGGGTGTCCAGCAAGGCAGAGGCAGAAACAGGCACACCCCGAGCCTGCCAATCCCCCAGCTCTCATCTGGGGCTCTTGCAAACCTTGTGCTTCGAAGGTGGAGTTAGGTGCAAGGTCAGAGGCACTTGGGATGGGAGATGGGGGATCTGCTGGGTTTTCGGGGGGGGACAGTGCTGCCTGGACACCTTTCACATGTGCAGGGAAGAACCTCAGAAGTGACCACAGTGCACTGAGGGGTGAAATCCCTTCACCAGAAGTCACACCCCAGAACGACTGCCCTGCCTTGGCAGCCGATGGCTCCTGCCACCCGCTCCTCAAGATATTCAGTCAGAATTGAGCTCCAAGCCAGGGAAGCAAATCTTAAAAACAAACCAGGCCACGCTGACACAGACCTAGAAACACGATGAGTCTGAGATACAGCTTCCTGGGAGGGCGGAGAGAGCAACTCCAGCCCCTGGCCAGGCCAGCCCAGGCAGGCGTGGGTGGATCCCACAGGGCTCTGGGCTAGACCAGCTCCACAGTGCCCCGCTATGATGCCAGTCCTGAAGGCTTGGCCTTGTCACCCATCGAGAGGCTGTGCTGATGGTTCCCAGCCACACACCAGTCCTCCTGGGGAATCTGTTTCCTTCATTCTTTTGGCCTCAGAGAGGTCCGAGGCAAGTCCATTTCTTAAAAGGTAATAAAATGCATTATCGGAAATTTGGACAGTCAGGCCATGACTCCTAGCCCACAGGGTGCCCCTTCTCCCAGCAGCCCCTTCAGCCCCTTGCTCCCTGTTGTCCCCTGTTGCCCCAACCTCAGGGTTCCCTCTTGCATATTCATGAGGGAACCACAGTGCTGATGTGCACTTCCCCACTGTCAGCTGGGCTGCACCTCATGTGGCGCCAGGTCCCCGAGGGGCCTCTGCAGAGGCCAGGCCGTGAGCCCCTTGCCTGCCTGCTCCCCTGATGAGGCAGCAGCTTCTCTGAAATGAGCTGCTGGACAGGAGCAGGCAGGCACCAATCTGTCCTTCCTTTTCTGCTAATTCCTCAGCACTGCGGCACCATTCTTGGGCACCCCAGGATTTAAGGGGACCTCAGAATCATGTCCCTGCCATTCTAGAGTTTCAATCTAAGGGATCCCCTTTAGCTCATCTCCAAGACGGGTAAACATAGCCACCATTCAGCAAGCCCAGAAATTCTTCTTCCCACATCTTAGACCCCTGAGCAACCCAAGGAGAAAATGCAGTTGCTTACCTGTTAATATCTACTGAGGGACAATCAGGAAAGCCTCAAAGGAGTCGTCTCAGGTAGGGTACTTGGCCTGTGGCAGGACAGACAGAGGCAGGAACCCACCCGCCTGTCAGCTTCAGGTGGCTAAAGGGGGCCCAGGGTGGGGGTGACTTGACAGTCATGTACCCCCTCCCTGACTCCTGGCAGGAGGAGGCCATGCCAGCCTCACCTGCTCTGACCCACCCCCGAGTCCCCTGCTGTGACCCTGTGGCTATGGCCGCTGGTCACCCTTGTCCCCAAAATCACCATGCCTGTGGCCATGTCCCTCATCTTTCTCCAAAAGCATCATTAAGAACAAGTGATTTTGGATGTTGGATTTTTTATTTACAAACGGTGCATTTCCCTTGGAGTGGAACAGAAAGGAAACCATTTAATGGCGCCCTTCTTTTCAAGCATGAATACATTTTAATGAAACTATTTTATTGTATTTGAGGAAATAGAGAGTTGAACATTCCAACCAATCAATAGCCAATTAATTGCTATAAAGCTAAAAAGAAAATAAATAAATCCTGAGTCTATTTTAAACACTCTGCAAAAAGTTCAGAGCCTCAGAATCTGGCTTCCCCTCCTAATATGCATGAGCACATACACACACACACACACACACACACACACACACACTCACTCCCCTACACCTCAGACATACTCGAAACTCAGAAACAGCACTGAGTCTCCCCATGCCGATTCTTGCCTGCTCTTGTTGACTTTGGTCAGAGAAGGTGAGCAGACCCGGCAGCAGCCTGTCCCAGGGCTTGGGAAGAGGCAGGCCCATCCCCTGGCCCCAAGCCCCCAGCACAGCATAGGGTCTCCGGCAGTGAGGGCCTGGCATTGCCTGGGCCTCGCTTCTCAGCCCCAGCTCTTGGGCCTCCAGGGTTGGGCTGAGGATGGAGTTTTGGCTCTGGGTTTGCCCTGACTCCTGCTGGAAGATGCTGCCCTGGTTTTTCACCCTCTAGTGGCCTTGAGTATTTTTAGAAATGCAGATTACATTGCAAATGGAACCCCTTGCCAGGAGGACACATGGATTTTGCTTTTGATTCTTTGAGACATTTGACTTTGTCTTAGGGACCGACCTTTCAGCATCAAAGAAATACATATCTACTGTATCCGCCAAAGTTTGTGATGCCTGCATAGACGCTTACTTGTAAAAAAAAAAAAAAAAAAGTACAAAAAAACCAACAACAAAAACCACAATTGAATTGCCTTTGAAAGTGGGAGATGATCTGTCTCCAACAGATTGAAAAAAAAATGCTTCTTAAAAAATGTGTATGTTTTGTATTCTTTTTTTCTAGTAGAAAATAACTGACTTGAAATATTGGTGGTTTTTTTTTCTTAGTGACGTGTGTTGCTTTTGTGTGTAATAATATTTGAATGTAATTACAGCAGTGCCAATTTGCCAAAGATGTTGGACATATTTTTCTTTTTTGGGGAAGGAGGGCAGGGCTAGGGGTGGGATTTGGGAGAACACAGGGGTGGGGTTTTGGTTTAATTTTTTTCACTTTTTTTTCCTTGTCAAACCTGAAATTTGTGGCTTCCTTTTAAGTTAAATGGTTGCAACACTTTTATTTTAGATTAGTTGAAGAAACATGCAATAAGGTTGGCGTAGTTTCAATATCTGTGTGTCTTTTCATGAGTGGCTGTTACTTGTGAAGAATTGATTTTATGTAACCTTTATGTGAGATAATTATTTGTAAATATTTGCCATAATTTTATTGGTTCCTAAAATAAAAGTAATTTTTTAAGTTCAGAAAAAGAATTTGATCCCATTTGTTTTTACTATTTTGAGGATTGCCTTTGACAACTTTGACTGTACCGTAGCGGGTTGTGGGGCCTTTGACGGCTCTCCCGCTTACATTGAGGTCAAAACAAATCCGTGCATGCAGAATGACGTGTTGCAGAATCGGGCTCGGTCCTGGGCAGGGAGCAGCAGCCGTAAAGTCTGCCCTTGAGATGTGCCCAGGCTTGGCAGGTGGAGTCGTGGGTGAGCCTCCACTCTGGATTTGACGCCTAACTGTGATTTAACATCAACTTCTTCAGTTCCCAGTGGTCAATAATTCCCACCTCATTCATTCATTCATTCAGCACATACTGATTGAGCATCTATTCTGTCCCCAGCACTGGGGACACAGAAGTGAACAGGGCCAACAAGGACTCTGCTGCCAGTGGCACAGTCATAGCTCACCTTGCACTCCCGGCTTCAAGCGACCCTCTTGCCTCAGCCTCTCAAGTAGCTAGGACTATAGGTGTTCACCACCAAGCCCAGCTAGTTTTTTAAATAATTTTTTTCCCTATTTACAAACTAACATATTATCAGCTAACTTTTTTTGAAAAGGAGTCTTGCTCTGTCACTAGGCTGGAGTGCAGTGGCTCGATCTCGGCTCACTGCAACCTCTGCCTCCTGAGTTCAAGCAATTCTTCTGCCTCAGCCTCCCACATAGCTGGGACTACAGGCCCGTGCCACTATGTCCAGCTAATTTTCGTATTTTTAGTAGAGACAGGGTTTCACCATATTGGCCAGGCTGGTCTCGATCTGCACACCTTGACCTCCCAAAGTGCTGGGATTACAGGCGTGAGCCACCGTGCCCGACCCAGCTAATTTTTTAAAACTTGAGTTTTGCTATGTTGTCCAGGCTGATTTCGAACTCCTGGCTTTAAGCATTCCTCCTGCCTCAGCACCTCCAAAGTGCTGGAATTACAGGCATGAGCCACTGCCCCCATCCCATATGTGCTTTTCACTTTGATCCAGTCAAGCCTCTTAAACCTAAAATGCCTGAGTGCAGGCAGAACTTAGAAGTCATTCACACCAGGAGACCTCCTCGCCTTTGGGCCCCAAAGCCATAGGCCGTATCCAGTCAAAGCTCAGAGAGCAAGAGTCCGAAATCCTTCCATCCTGTCCTTAAGCCTTTGAAACGGAGCATTTCGGGAGCATAGGAGCCCAGAGGTGGCTTTTCGTCAGGGGGTAGGGCAGCTGCAGACCTGAGTCCTGCCCCTGCCGGGCGATGTCAGTGCGCAAGGACAGGCAGGGACCGCTGCGCCCGTTGGCACAGTGTGTGCAACTCAGTAATTGCCAGAGATGGAGTGGGCGAGTGACCGCGTGGGGGCTGTGGACAGCAACTCATTCATATTTAATAAAGCAGCGCACGGCCTCCATTCATTTCTGCAATGGATGGTGGCGAAGGTGATTCCTGAGGGAGTGAGAGTGAGCCATGGCAGAGTGCTGGCCTGGCGCCTTCCTTCTCTGTGCTCCTGACTTAGAGCACAGACTTCAAAGAGAAGTAGGTGTGTTTTTTAACTGAAATCGGACCCCAAACCTATGAGCACTGGCAAGGTAGGCCAGGCGCTCCATTTCCTGACACCGTGGCTCTTGTCCCCGGTTTTCTGGGGACAGAAGCCTCAGGCCTGCTTTCCCCAGAAATGGGGCACGAGTCTCTGCAGCAAGCAGGGCATGTGCAGCCCCCACATGACAGCAGAGTGGAGGCTGTGGGACAGGCCTCCAGGTATGGAGGTGGAAGTGCCAGCCCTGACCGGCTCAGGCAGCCTCCAGCAGCCCCTCTGCACTCAGGGACAAGCAGGAGCAGAGAGAGAAACCTGAGATCTGCCTGGGAGGTGTTCCTCAAACCCCTCCCCCACACCAGAGCCAGGCCCCTTGCTGGGTGCTGGGGCAGAAGTCTCCCTGGGGGAGTGAGACTGCCACAGGGCAGAAAGATAAAGCATCCCGAGAGCCAGGCTGGGAGTCTCAGCTCCAGCTTTTGGTGGTCAGTTTGCTGATGCAAGCAGTTTCTTCTTCATCTGCGTAGTGGGTGTAAACCTGACACATTTACCTGAAGGGTGTTATGAGAAACAAATGTCATGCACTGTGTGAACGTTTTTCCAAGTGACAAATGGGAGTTTTGCCAGGATGTCTTCTCCACTATAAAGAAGTCAAAATTTTATGCCCCAAGGTCAAACTTTAGTCAGAATCTCCTCCCTACTAGGTGCAGAAGGAGGGTAGAATGCAGAAATGAACCAACCAGGAGCCTGCTCTCTGGGGGCAGGTGATGTGTGTATTTGAATTCCAGGCCTAATATGGTCAGTATCACCTACAGTTGGAGCAGACAGGAAGGTGTGGTCTTAGAGGAGGGATTCCATTCAGTTGTGGGAGGGGTGGCCAGAGAAAGCTTCCTGGAGGAGATGACTTTTGAGCTGAGCTGTGAAGGGCGGGCAGAATTTCAATAGGAAATTTTAGAAAGGGCAGGAAGGGAAGGCATTCTAGGCACAGGTAATAGTGTAAACAAAGCCCCAGGGTGGGAAATTGGATGTGATAGGAGACACTGAACCACTTGCCCCTGAGTTAAGCAGGCACGGTGGCCTTTTCCCAAAGCCTACCTTCTGAGGCTCTGTAGGTGCCACCAGGTCAAAGGTAAGGGGTAGCCTGTGTTCTGGATCAAAGGTGAGGGCTAGCCTGGGCTCATGTCATTTCCTAGCAATGGGGTTGCCCAGGGAGGAGAGGAGGTGGCAAACTCAAGCAGGGGGTGACCATCTTCCTTAGGAGGCAGCAAAGGGGAGCATGTTTCAGATGCTGGTGGGAGCAGGTGGATTTCCAGCCCGGAAGATCCAATAGCTGTGGAGCCTCCTGGCCATAGCTGTGTGGTGATGTGAAGAAGGGGACCCTTCTGGCCGACTGAGCGCTGCTGTGGTCTCCTCAGCACGCTGCCTCAATAACTGTCTCTGGAAGGGACGCCTGCCTGCACAACCCTGATGGAGGCCATCACTGGGAGGCCGGCTCTGCAGGAGACACAGCTGCTATGATTTTAGACCACTGGGGCCATTAGCACCCCAGGTGATCTTAGTGATTTATTTTACCTATGTACATGTCCTGGTTTTTCTTCAGTGGACATGCATTACACACAATTTGAAGATAATTTTAAAAAATTGTCATTGCTCTCTTTGCTTGGTCTTCCCAGCCTATGGTGATGGGGCCTCTGCAAGCTCCACTACAGACCAGCTCTGAGGACATTTAGCAAAGAAGCTGCCTGTGTGAACCTGTCAGGGCTGCATGGCCCAGGGCCAGACACTGGGTGGCTGAAACAACAATTTATTTTCTCCAAATTCTAGAAGTCTAAGATGAAGGTGTCAGGCAGGGCTGGTTACTGCTTAGCCTTCTCTCCGTGTCCTCACACTCTCTTCCCTCTGTATGCGTCTCTGGTCCTAATCTCTTCTTACACAGGCACCAGTCATGCTGGATTAGGGCCCACCCTGAAGACCTCATTTTAACTTCATTACCTCTCAAAGGCCCAATCTCCAAATACAGTCACATTCTAAGGTACTGAGGGTTAGGACTTCAACACATAAATTTGGAGTGACACAATTTAGTCTATAACACTACTTGAGAAGAAAGAGGCCCCCAGATCCAAGAACAATCGCAGCTGGGATCTGCTCTTCACACTTCAACCCCAACTTTGCCTGTGCTATGTCACCTCTACCCAGGGACATCTGCCCCTGTTTGTCCAAGCCAGAGGCTTCTGCCCCTCAGATCTGAACTCCCAAATGTGACCCCCAGGAAGATCATTACTTCATACCATCCATCCAAAGAAATTCCTAGTGAAGCCAAGAGTTTCTTTTAAAATATATAGATAGGCCGGGCGCAGTGGCTCAGGCCTATAATCCTAGCACTTTGGGAGGCCAAGGTGGGTGGATCACGAGGTCAAGAGATCGAGACCATCCTGACCAACATGGTGAAACCCCGTCTCTACTAAAAACATAAAAATTAGCTGGGAGTCCCAGCTACTCGGGAGGCTGAGGCAGGAGAATTGCTTGAACCCAGGAGGCTGAGGTTGCAGTGAGTGGAGATCGTGTCATTGCACTCCAGCTTGGGTAACAAGAGCAAAACTCAGTGTCAAAAAAATATATAGATAGATATATAGATAGATAAAATGAATGGGGTTATAGATGAATGTATTTCAGACTTCTATATGAAATATGACTTTATAAACTTAAAAAGATGGAAAAGTCTCAAAAGACAAGATTAAAATATTTGATCATGTGATTTGCTTTTTTGTTGTTGTTTTATGTATTCAAAAACGTTTAACAAAATACAAAGAAAAAGAAGTTGGAAAATCTAAGAAATGGGAATAGGTGTAATGCCTTGAATACATGAAACATTTGCTTGCAATTTTATGAAAAATCCTACCACCCTCAATAGAGACATGGGTAAAGGTGTGCACAGAACACTCATGAATGAACACAGTGTTCAGCCCCATACGGAAAACACAATTCCACTTCACAAAGATCTTTTTTTTTTTGAGACGGAGTTTCACTCTTGTTACCCAGGCTGGAAGTGCAATGGCGCGATCTCGGCTCACCGCAACCTCCGCCTCCTGGGTTCAGGCAATTCTCCTGCCTCAGCCTCCTGAGTAGCTGGGATTACAGGCACGCACCACCATGCCCAGCTAATTTTTTGTATTTTTAGTAGAGACGGGGTTTCACCATGTTGACCAAGATGGTCTCGATCTGTTGACCTCATGATCCACCCGCCTCGGTCTCCCAAAGTGCTGGGATTACAGGCTTGAGCCACCACTCCCGGCCCACAAAGATCATTTTTAAAAAACACCTACTGCTGGTGAGGGTGAGAGGAAATGAACACCCCTCTACCCTGCCGCTGAGCTGTCTGACAATAAGAGGCCAAGACTGCTGTTACTCTCTAACCCCCAGCCGGGTAGGGTGGCTCATGCCTGTGATCCTAGCTACTCAGGAGGCTAAGGTGAGTGG